GCCTCTCTGGAGACAAAGAGCAGAGACGCTGGTATTCTGTTGGACATTTTAATGAAGCTTACAATCGACTTTTCATTCAACCTTTATTTGAAATTAAAAATGCTGAAAAAGATTAAAGCATAAAGCTCAAAGCTCATTGTGTAATAGAATAATGTACATATAAAATTGTGTAATATAATAAAGCACATATAACATTGTGTAATAGAATAAAGCGTAGCAGGTGAACATGAACGTGTGAACATATAAACAGCAGTTGCAGAAGGCGCTGCTGCTTCACAGGAGGAAACATTCAGTCTGTATAAAGACTGAAGCATCTTTGTCCCGTTTAAAGTGAAACACAAGCGTTTCTGCACTGAAGCCTCTTAAAGCGTCTGTTGCCGTGGACAACGGCGTCATGGCGTCTGACATCAGGGACTCTGTGGTGGCTTCACGTCGTCCATCAGTCCAGTGAGACGGAGGCAGAAGGCTCTCCAACGTTTACGTAGTTCACCGAGTCGTCTCCTTCAACCACCTCATCCATCTGCTGTAAACAACAACAACAACAACAACACAACTGTGCTGAGATGCTGAAGGACACGGAGCAGATGGGTTTGTAGGAACAAAGAGCAGCTCCAGAGGAAGCGCTGGGGTTTGTGGGCATCCTCAGTGAGAAGTGGAGAACAGTTGTTACCAACACTTTACTGACGCTACGATTCTCTGATTAAACTCACCATGATTTCTCCATCCGGGTTTCTTTCCCTGAAACACAAGAAAAGACTCCAGTTTAGTTTTGAGGGTAAAATGGAGGTTCATCAAAACCTTTTGGCTTCATATGTGAATGTTGTCACCTTTAGTTCTTGTCCAGATGTTGACTGTAACAACACTTATTAAAAGTGCTGCTGAACCCAAACACACAACGAAGGTCCTCAACAAGGCTGAAACAGAGTGAAACACAGTCAGAGGGGTGATGATCAATAGATGATCTCTGATATCATGATCAATAGATGATCTCTGATAGATGATCAATAGATGATCTCTGATAGATGATCAATAGAAGATCCCTGATAGATGGTCAATAGATGATCTCTGATAGATGATCAATAGATGATCTCTGATAGATGAATCACCTGAATGAATAAAATAGCAAAGTGAATCAAACTGTACAGTTAGAAAAGAACTCAAGTATCTGACGTCATGATTAAAGAGTGATGTGATTTAAAATGATCAAATATGAACAAACACTCTGATCCTCTGAGAGGTTTGTGACTGTCTCTACCTGCAGTCACTGGTTTCTTGTCTTCAGGTGGACTTTTGGTCGTCTTCTTCTCAGGTGTCTCATTCACTGGAGGTTTGTTAGTCGTCTTTGTTACAAAAGCACCTTAATGAATAAATAACAAAATGCAACAAACTGTAGAGTAAGAATTAGTATCTGACGTCATGATTAAAGAACAATGTGGTTGAAGAGGTGAAATATGAACAAATCCTTTGAGTGATCGTCAACTGTTCCTAACTAGTATTCATTGAGCTCTGTGGAAAAGGTCACAGGGTCAAGGATAGATGGTTAGGATGGTTCATGAGGAGTTAGGAAAGGACAACCTCTATTTGTGATGA